AAAAAAAAAAACCAAAGCGAAAAGTATGAGTCTGAGCTGATAGGTGCCTAGGCGAGTAGACTGCACCACGAGTGGGTTAAAGCACAAAAAATACAAAACGACTACCCAAATTTGAAGGATGAGTAGCCAATCTGGTCCATCCGCACAAGAATACGGAGGCGGAGAGGAGCGTCGTCCATATGAAAAATGCGCCTCTAAGGAGTAGAGGTACCGATGCAAGCGGCGAAATCAGCGGGTCGGTTCCCCTCGCGGAGGATGTGCGAAATCTGGTAGTGAACCGACGAAAGTGTGGATTTTATGCGCATGAGCGGGTGCTAATCTACCACGGGCCCTGGTGGCCTGATGTCAAGAGGGTGGTGACAGCGGCAACGTCCAACTCTATCCAAATGTGAGAAGAGATAGAGGATGTAATCTGAAGACTGATCTGAAGCACCTGAACCTACGTGTCGTAGCTCGAGGAGGCCTGAAGAGGGGCGTGGAAGGAAGTAATGAGGCTCCACTGTGATAGGCCCCCGCCTCCAGCGAATCCTGTAAGTCGGTCAAACGATCCGTCAGTGTTTAGATTAACCTAAGGGGAGTCGGGTCTCAGCCAAACAAGGGCTCTGAGGCGTGGGTGCTGGACAAGTAGTAGCGGAGATGGTTCGAAGCATTGGGGTGGCGTGCCGCATGTCCAATCTCTAGGTGTGAGTCTGCCTAGAGCTGTGAGAAGGGAGAGATGTCGATCGACCTGCAAAACAATGTGAGAGTACATAAAAGTAATATCCATATGCTTCGCCCTATACATTTATGTACAGACAAACCACATAATCACACAAGGAATGAGGAAGCCCACGTGTGTAAAGTGTGTGCGATGTGAGAAAAAACTCAAGAGCTAAAAAAAAACTATCTGTAGTGGGTAGGAGTATATGATTATAAGTTGAGAAATGCTCATATACTCTCATCGCAACCTCACTCTCTAATAAAAATGGAAGTCTGGAAATCTCCGGTCTCAGCACAGAAGTAAAACCGCGAAAGAAAGAAAAACCCGCTCGCCTGCACCACAATGTTGATTGGAATTAACGCTGAATGGAATTCTCCACAGAAGAAGGTGTTAAAGGAAGGCAGAGATAGTCGGGTAAGCAGGTCGGTCCTAATGGCCCCGAAGAAAATGTTAGGCCGGTCACCTAGTCGCACTTTTCCCTAAGCTGAGTTCGTAGATGCACCTGAAGATGTAAGTCTTTGTCTCATGGTCTCGACATCACAACGAAGTGAACCCTCGTACTCGGTCGGTCCTTGTTGTCCACAGACGTGGTGACTTTTAGATCCTCAAAAAACTTGGGAATCTCGAACAATAATGATGACATCCAATGCCGATCGTTGCCGAACTGGCCCTCGTCCCGCTGGTTCATCCCCTTCGATTGGTTGTCCTCATTATTCGCAAATTTGCTCCAAAATTTTGGCTCCTTTTTCAGACTCGCTCGTTGGTGTTGCTTGTGTTAATTTTGGTTGTTTCGTTTGTTCTACTGGAGCACGGGGCCTCGTGGCCATTTTCTGGCTACTTGAGCGCGGCCGCGTGCGGGGCACGCTGGGTGCAGGATGTGCGCGCAGTTGGCTGCCTGGACTAGAGGGTTGTCCTCGATTATCTCCCCGCTTAGGTGTTGGAATTAGCTAGGAACACTACCGGGAGCCATAGCTTGTAGCTGACAGTGAAGTTTGTGATAAGAGGGCTACTGAATTTTCCTACAAGATGATCCGCTGAAAGAAGATTCACGGCTGCTGTTGGATTCAATTTGGCTGGAAAAATTAGGGTACGATGCTTCATCTTTACTGTAACTTTTCTGCGTGCGCATCGACGAATATGAATCGCACTTTCGGTTAGGTCCGGTGGTCTGCTTGAGTAGCATCTTTTTGATCCGCACAGAGGCTTCCATCATCGACTGTACATTCTTTTCCGAACAATTGATCCACATGATCTCTTTCATATTGTAGAGCCTCACTCGATTTTGTGTTGGTGATACTCGATCAATAACTCTCAATGAAAGTACCAATGATGAAGTTCGTGTATTGTGGTGTAGTGTTTTGTGAAAACTCGCACTAACCGCGTTGGTTAACACAAGAGCTTTTGTGATCGGAAGAGTTTTTTTGTATCTTATTGCTTCATGAAATAAATAATGATTACATAGGCTATTTAAAAAGACAAATACAAAGCCTATGAGAAAATTTTTAATCCTGAGAAAAGTAAATATCTAATTAGGTCCTAAGAGTTACCAACTTTGTCAAACACTTGTGCTATTTTGGAATAGAATTACATAAACAACAAAACTAGGAAATATAGAAAAATTAGAAAATTAAGGATTGTTTCCCAACTAGACCAACTTGTGCCTTGAGCCCCAAGCCTCGATGACGATCCTGTGGCCCGAAGTTCTCGAATTGCTCACGCGACTCGCGCTTCGTCGACAGATTGTCAAATCTCGCCCGCGCATCACCCGCCTGCTCGTCGACGGATCACCCTGCCTGCTCGTTGACGGGGCACTGCGCGCTGCTCGCGTTGGTCTCCTGGCCTGGCGCTGGGGCCCGACCCGAAGCACTTGCTGCTGAGAGTCCGCCCGTGGTTCAATGGTCCAACTGACGCGGTTGCCGCTCGTTGGCCCGTCAAAGACCTGGTACGCATCAGACCCCTCGTGCATCTCCTATTCACCGTTTTTGTCCCGACTCCGTTTTTAATATTTTTTGTTGTCATATTTCTTACAAAAACTAACGACAAAAAATACTTCTATCATAGCTTAGTAAATCAAACAAACTGGTGCACAATCGAACAACAAATACGAGCAATCTGTAATTCAAAATGCATGTAAATGTGAATCATGTCAATTAGGCAAAATAAAATGTCAGAAATGGGAAAGACAGTTGCACATGATCCTCCTCTTGTGAACCTCTATGGGAAAGACACTTGCACATGATCCTCCTTTTGTGAACCTCTCTAATCTTAATTCTACCAGCTGAGGCCTTCCTCGGTTCCCTTTTTCGCACGTGTGTGTAACTAACTTTATTCTTCCAAAAGTGCTCCATATGAATATCATTATGACAAACTTTTCTGCAACTCTTATAAATATCTATCTCCACAAGTGAACCTATATATCACTGTCTTTTTTAGGTATATCATGGTAAGCAATTGCTCCATCTTCTCATCTTATGCCCACACAAAATTATGCCCACACAATAATATCGTAGTTCGCGAAAACAAACAAAGATAAATATAATATTCTTATGCAATGAAAACAAGAGTTTACTTTCTTCAATATTTTAAACATGCGTACAGTGTCGGTATGCACGCACTCTTACATTATAATCTTATTGATTAATCCCATATTTCTCTCTATCTCTCTCTCACACACACACACTTACTTTTGTAAGTATTTTTTATTTGTCTTGCCAGCTGATACTTCTTCGGATTGACTTTGCAATAGCAGGAGGAGCAGTAGCTGAAAGATGCTGACAGCTCAGCCAAAACCCACCTCCCTCCGGCGGCCGGTTGCCGTCTTGGGCGCCGGAAAACACCAGGGACTGGCCAACTTCTGTGGGTTCAGGCGTAAAGTCCGTACGAGCAGTAGGCCGGTCACAAGGGCGGCGATAAAGAGTGGAGATAGCAAGGGTGGAGTGGAAACAGCAGAAAAGATTGTAGAGAAGTCGATGGGTTCGGAATCTGTAAAAAATGGTGGAGGGATTGGTGTTAGGGCAGTGGTCACAATAAGGAAGAAAATGAAGGAGAATTTGAGTGATAAGATTGAGGATCAGTGGGATTCTATTGTCAATGGAATTGGGAGAGGGATCTTCATTCAGCTCATCAGTCAAGATGTTGATCCTGGTACTTCTTTTTTATTATTATATAATATAATTCCTTTTAATTGAAAATAATAAAAAAAAAAATTGAAGATTTGCTTACAAAGAATCATTGTGGACTGTGTTCTAAAATAGGCTTTGCCGTTTTTTGGCATATTTTTTCTCTGCAATTCTGTGTGTGTGTGTGTGTGTGTCTGTGTCCTAAAATAGGCCTTTTAAGACTTTTTGTTCCATCTACGTTTGTGTGTGTGTGTGTGTGTGTTTCTCTTGTATTTGTCATTGAATTTTTGGTTACTGTAGTTTATCATCATTTTCAGTGTTTTTTTGTGTTTTAAAATAGGCTTCTTTCATTATTTCTTTCCAGTTACTAAATCAGGAAAGACGGCAGAGTCGTACGTGAGGGGTTGGTTCCCTAAACAGTCCAATGATCCATATGTGGTTGAGTATTGTGCCGATTTTACAGTTGCACATGACTTCGGACAGCCCGGAGCTGTTCTCATCACCAACTTCCTCGACAAGGAGTTGTTCTTGATGGATATCGTGGTACACGGATTTAGCAAAGGTCCCGTGTTCTTTCATGCCGATACTTGGATACACTCGAGGAAACTTAACCCGGAAAGCAGAGTCATATTCAAGAATCATGTTCGAAAAGCCTTTTTTTTTTTTTTGTTATATTTGGTTTGATTTGTATCTGTTCCTTCCCCCTATTTATATGTATGTATATATATTGGGTAACGACAGGCGTACCTCCCATCCGAGACGCCAGCTGGCATCAAGGACCTCCGGCAGCAAGACCTGTTGAGCCTCCGAGGCAACGGCAGAGGAGAGAGGAAGCTGCACGAGAGAGTATATGATTACGACGTGTACAATGACTTGGGTAATCCTGATAAGAGTCTCGATTTGGCGAGGCCTGTTTTGGGAACCAAAGAAAGGCCTTACCCTAGACGATGCCGAACCGGGAGACCCCCAAGTCAAACAGGTATTCTGCTTAAACATTGTATTTCGCACTCAAAAACCGATAATTTAACTGTCCCCTAAAAAAAATTGGTTATTGAAGCTTGAAAATTCTGAATTAGATCTCTACACCGAGACGAGGATCGAGAAGCCGAATCCGGTTTATGTGCCTAGGGACGAAACGTTCGAGGAGATCAAGCAGAACACATTTTCGGCGGGGAAGCTCAAGGCTCTGCTCCACAACCTGATACCATTGATTGCTTCTAAGCTGGCGAGTTCGGATATTCCCTTCACAAACTTCTCCGACATAGACAAGCTGTATAACGAGGGTGTTGTGTTGAAAGAAGAGCAACAAGAAGCCAAAAAATTGCCACTTTTGGCCACCCTAATGAATCAAATATTTACCGTTGGTGACAGTTTGCTCAAATACGACGTGCCCGCCATTATCAGGCGTAAATGCTTTTCTGTTTTTCTACTCGTAAATTATTGTTCTCAAGCTCAATGGCAAGAGTTGACATGCTTTCAAAGTTATCTCTTATAATCTGTCCCTTTATTTGATGTCCATCCTATTTACTTAATCCTACCTTTTTCTTCAGGTGACAGATTTGCGTGGCTAAGGGATGCTGAGTTTGCTCGTCAGTCTTTGGCTGGAGTGAACCCTGTTAATATCGAGCTACTTAAGGTACGCTTTGTCATTCGTTTTGAAGATGGAGTGAATATATTATTCTAGTTATCAGCAAATTGATGGGAACCCTCAACATTGGGCTGTAATGACTCAGGAACTTCCAATTATAAGCAAACTGGATCCCTCAATATATGGCCCTCCGGAGTCTGCAATTACCCGGGATTTAATTGCAAGAGAGCTCAATGGAATGAATGTCGACAAGGTAAATGATCTGTAATCGAACAATGAATTCATTATATACTTGAGAAATTTCACGAAACATCTAATTTCGGTACTCATTCCCTGCCACTTTAAAAACATCAACCGGAAATCTAATATAATTGCATGTATCGGGTTCCTTGTTTGCCGCATGCACAGGCGATCGAGGAGAAGAAGTTGTTTATACTTGACTACCATGACTTGATGTTGCCGTTTGTTGAGAAGATGAACTCGTTGCCGGACAGAAAAACTTATGCTTCTCGAACAGTTTTCTACTATTCAGAAACCGGAGTCCTGAGACCGATTGTCATTGAGCTTTCACTTCCCCCGACACCTTCGTCCCCAACAAACAAGTATGTGTTTACCCATGGCCACACTGCTACAACTCACTGGTTGTGGAAACTGGCCAAGGCTCATGTTTGCTCTAATGATGCTGGCATTCACCAGCTCGTCAACCACTGGTAGGACTATCAGCTCCAATGAAACTTATTCATTTCATTGGAATAATATTGGAATGAATATAATGGATGTGTTTCAGGATGAAGACTCATGCTAGTGTGGAACCTTACATAATTGCTACCCACAGGCAGCTGAGCTCAATGCACCCAGTGTACAAGCTGCTGCATCCTCATATGCGCTATACTATGGAAATCAATGCCCTTGCGAGGCAGAGTTTAATAAACGGTGGCGGCATAATCGAGGCATGTTTTGGTCCCGGTAAGTACGCCATGGAAATAAGCTCTGCTGCCTATAAGAGCCTGTGGCGGTTTGACATGGAAGCATTACCTGCAGATTTAGTGCGAAGGTAAAAAAAAAAAAAAAAAGAAAGAAGAAGAAGAAATCATGTATAGTCATTGTCCCAAAAATGAACTACTTTATGTGATTTTTTTTTTTTTTCCCCCATTAGGGGCATGGCTGTCGAGGACCCAGCTGCACCTGGCGGTGTACGCCTAGTGATAGAGGACTACCCTTATGCAGCTGACGGCCTTCTCATCTGGTCCGCTTTAAAGGAGCTGGTAGAATCATACGTTGAGCACTACTACTCGCGTGAAGGCTCCATTGCATGCGACCCAGAGCTGCAGTCGTGGTGGGATGAGATCCGCAATGTGGGGCATGCCGAAAAACGGGACGAGCCATGGTGGCCCAGCCTCTCCACCCAAGACGACCTCTCCTCCATCCTCACTACCATCATCTGGACAGCCTCTGCCCAACACGCAGCAATCAACTTCGGGCAGTACCCGTTCGGGGGGTACCCGCCCAACCGCCCGACCCTCGTGCGCAAGCTCATCCCGCGGGCAGGGGAGCCTGAGCACGACAGCTTCTTGCACAGCCCTGAATTTACCTTCCTGACCTCGCTGCCAACTCAGCTGCAGGCCACCAAGGTGATGGCGGTGCAGGACACGCTGTCCACGCACTCACCGGACGAGGAGTACCTTAACCAGCTGCACCACATCCACAGACAATCGTTCGACGATGCCAACGTGCACAAGATGTTCGACCTATTCTCCGCCAAGTTGGATGAGATCGAAAGGATTATCGAGCAGAGGAATAAGAATGTGGAGCTCAAAAACAGGACTGGGGCTGGGGTTCCTCCCTATGAACTGCTTTTGCCGTCATCAACTCCAGGGGTGACGGGCCGTGGTATCCCCAACAGCATTTCCATTTGACACACCAGGTTAGGTTTGGCATTGTTGTTCTTTTGGGAATAATAAATAAATTGTTTATTATTATGTAATTTGAGGAGCATAAATGTATATGGATGGAGTGTACAGCATTATTGCTTTTATATTTGGATTTGTGTTTTCAATGCTCGTTTGCTTGTGTTTCCAGTTTTGAGGATTGACAGAAATTCAAAGGAAGTAAAGTAGGATGGTATGGTCGGTTAAGAAATGAAAATGTGTACGGGAAAAAAACCTCTTTATTACAGTGGGTATTGTCTACTTAGTGGTAGTTAGTTTTTTTTTTTTTTTTT